CTCGAGAACAAGTCCACAAAACTAGATTGATCCAATCTGAATAAAACATATTCAAACTCTCAAGCCGATCGGGGTGTATTTAGAGGTCACTCAAGGATCCACAATGTTCACATTATAATCATGTGTGGCTCAAAAAGTATAATGACTGTAAACTTAAGCTACAGACACATTTACTGCTGTTTGGTGAATTTTCGCAGGCGAAATCCAGGGAATCTATGAAATTGTGAATTTACCGTGAGGGAAAAAATTCCCAACACAGATTTTAGCATGGGTTCAAGATAGGAACACGGATTCACTGCGTTAACCATCAGAAAGCTGATTGGTTTGAAAGTGATTCCGGTGTGAGCTTTGCTTCATGCATCTCTACACTATTGACAGTGGCACTTTTTTGCCTAAATCTCGCCAATTAAAAACATGTGAGCAAAACCCCATCAGCCAACTTCAGCTTCAGCTCTGAGCTTTGTGTACGTCTGTCAAACCCAGTAAAGCTTGCCAAAGTTATCAACGCTTGGTCAAGTTGTTGCTGACTCAGAAACGCATTCAGCAAAAACAATTACAGCATGATCGAGCTGACCATTACACCAGTAGGCTTATTTTAAAAAATGACCGTGAATTTAACGGTAAAAGACTGTAAAAATGCTACAGTAAAAACCTGTTAGACGGTTAACGGTAAATTCCCCTACTATATACGGTGAAAAACTGTATTGGACATTACATGTATTGGACATTACTTTTACAGTAGTATACCGTTTTTTGAAGTGAAAAAGACCGTATAATTTACAGTGAATAACCGTAAATTGACATTTCCAGAATTCCCTGCGTTACATTTCAAATTTGATGTTTTTTTGTTGAAATAACTATGTTTCTTCTTAGTTTTTTCTTATCAGTTTTGTATATTAGGGTTGTGTGTTACACCTAATGTTGTTAAATGAATGTTTATTGCATTATTTCAGTTTCATGTGTGTTACCATGATGGTGTTTAGTGTTTGTGTGAATGACACTGTGCACCTTCTATATATGTTATTATTTAAAAGCTGCTTGTGATGGGCTTTGGTTCATCATGTGACTTTCTCATCACCATCTGCAGTTGGTGGTTATCAGTGTATTACAAAGCTACAAAACAGATTTCAGTACTTCAATAGGTTGGTATATTAACATTATATCAGTTAATGAAATTACGGTATTTAACTGTAAATTTAAGTTAAAACCGTAAAACCTAAACCGTTGCTACCGTATTTTTTACGGTAAAATTCTGGCAACCACAGCTGCCGGTTTTTTACCGTAAATTTTATGGAAATTTTTTTACAGTTCTCTTGACAGTATAACAAATTGCGTTTTTTTCCTTCTTCTTAAAAATTATACAAAAATTCTATATTTTTTCTCAAATTTTTGATGCTTGAGTGACCCCTAGATACAGTATTCACCAAAAAACTAAATTGTTTAAATAAACTTTGTGGAGGAAAAGTACTATAAAACTTCATGTTTCTGGACCACCCTAGTAAACCCTTTTGACATGTAAAAATGAAATAGCATCTGTTTCATAGGAACAGTGGTGTTTGAAAATACTGCTGAGTTAAACCAATGGTCATTTATATATAAATAGCGTTCTGCTGCATAGAGGTCGACCGATAGATAGTTTTTAGAGAATTTAACCTGTACACATTGTGTGTGTGTGTGTGTGTGTGTTTTAACTGTTGGTAGTATGCAGATAAACAAAGCCAGATTATAAACATTCATCCATTTTTCAAACCATGGGGGATTTAAAACATTTACAGGAAAAAAAGCCAAGATATGCATACAACAAATGTTATCATTACATAAAAAAAAAAAAAGATATGTTGCTGGACTTATTTTAAAGCGCTCGGTCTGGTTTGCAACTGTTTCATGTTATTTGCAGTTTGGAAAAGTGTTACTTTGTGATTCGGCTTGGATGTTTCTCAGTACATCATTTAATAATTACAAAACATTTTCATGAAAAAAAAAAAATCCACATATTTCAACTTAAAAACTTAAGTTCAGTTGCTGCCTTGCATTTTTAAGTATAATCAGCTTGGTTGTACAAGTCATTTCAACTTAAATTACATTCAACCAACTTAAAAAAAAAAAAAAAAGTTGAAATTGCTCAACTAATTTTGACGAGTTAAAGTAATGTAAAAACATAAATTGCCATGACTTACTGATCATACAATTTTTTACAGTGTAATTAATTATTAGTAATAAAGATCAGCACGATTTCACTCTGAGTGGAAGCTTTGCATTCAATGCTGATTTTAAAAGCCAGTTAATTAGGTCTGTTTTCCCACTTTATTATCCCACAGTTAACATATCGATAAAATCCACTATTAAATCGGTCGACCTCTACTGCTGCATTGATCGGTTTTGTCCGTTTAGCCAAATTTTTCCAAAGCATCCACGTAGCATATGCTTGAATCTGAAGCTTGACTTATATCTCACAATATGAGGTTTGGGAGACACCGAACTGTTGGGACACAACTAGTTCACATTTAACAACAAATGATCCAGTTAAAGGTAAAGTACAGTACATACACTCATAACAGTTAAAAATCAAGACTGTTCTTCAAGCATGAAGATGGTGTTCAACCACATCAGTCAAAAACCCTTGACAGCACACAAACCAAACCAAACCAAACACATGAGAAACAAAAGCTTGTCTTTTAAGGGTTACACAATTCATGAGAGTAATGACACATGGGAAAGTGCTGTACATGTACTCAAACAGACGCATTATGCTGCTCAGTCACTGTTTATAACTGTGCAAATATTGTGAAGGTCTGTGCATTGTATTCATGTGCTTCAGATACGACAGAAGAAAGTCACAGACAGCGGGAATCACGTCAGCAGCTTCACACACAACAGAAATCAATTCAACAAGACGACAGATGTGACATCAGGGGCTGAACAGGAAACAGCCAGTCAGATGGTTTGACTTCACTTCCTGCGGGGATGCGAGAGAATCTCCTGAAATCTGATCCTCATCTGCCTTGAGAGTGAAGCAGTCATAAGAAGTCTTATTTAGCAAACACAGTTTTATGTTAAAATGTAATTGTTCAAATTGAGTTCACACTAGTTTTAAGGGTTTACAGTGATTCTGATGTTTGTAAAAAAAAAAAAAATTCTGTCATCATTTACTCAAAGTTGTTCCAAACCTGTAAGACTTTCTTTCTTCTGTTAAACACAAAAGAAGATGTTTTGGAGAATGTTGGTAACTAATCAGTTGCTGGCAGCCATTGACTTCTATAGAAAAAATAATGGGAAAAATACTATGGAAGTCAATGGCTGTTTGGTTACCAACATTCTTCAAAAGATCTTTTGTGTTTAACAGAAGAAAGAAACTCACACAGGTTTGGAACAACTTGAGGATGAGTAAATGGCAGAATTTTCATTTTTGGGTGAACCGTCCCTTTAAATAAGACACTCACTCAGATGAGATCAGATGATGTTTAGAAGCCCTTTGTGCAGGAAAACATCACACATAAGTACAGTGATGTCCAAGTCATCACCGCCCATTAAAAGGTTTGTCTACTCTTACATAATTTGAAAATTACCGATGAAAAATATCACATGGTATAAATCAACAGAAACAGTACATCCCAAACTCAATCAATGTCCTAAATGACTAATATTACAGTAATGCCTGGCCAAACAGGTGAACATATTTATAATATGATTAGCATACCCAAGTTTAATTTGATTAACAGACACATCTGATCTGCCACACGCCTCAGGAATACAGATGACAGACGGCTGATGAACACATCTGAAACTAATAAACTCTATTGTCCAAAACATCATCATCAAACCACAGACGATCCACTCAGATCTCACCGAATCCAGGACGAGAGCTGAAAGATGTAACTGTGACTGTGGTCCGAGAGAATGAGTCCTCTTCTCTTACAGAATGCAGATGCATGGATCCTGATGATGATGATACAGTTAGTGAAAACTAAAAACATCCTGCTCAACGTGGAGGCGTTTATTGTCACTGAATGAAGACCCAGAGGAGAACATGAACATCTGTCGGCATGTGCAAACCAACTAAAACACTCCAAGAAATGCACAATGACCGACTCAACATGAAAACAGTTTAATGGAGTGACTGGTGAAAGATGGCAGCTCTCAGGTGATCATTTACTTCATTTTTCATGATGTTTTTTTGACGATTGCAAAATGATTTTCATTGTGTTGGTAGATAAAGGACTAAATTATACACTACTGGTAAAAAGTTTGGAATAATTAATATTGTTTATGTGTTCTGAAAGATGTCTCACCAATGCTGCATTTATTTGATCAAAAAATACAGTAAAAATGTGAAAAATTATTACAATTTAAAATATATGTTTTCTATGTGAATCTCTGTTAAACTGTAATGTATTTCTGTGATGCGCAGCTGTATTTCCAGCATCATTCCTCCAGTCTTCAGTGTCACATGATCCTTCAGAAATCATTCTAATATGCTGCTTTGCTGCTCAACAAACATTTCTGATTATTATCAATGCTGAACACAGTTTTTGCAGCTTAATATACAACTGTGATATACTATCATTCAAAAGATTGGGGTAATATTTAAAAAAAAAGAAAGAAAATGAATTAATACTTGTGTTCATTAAGGATGCATTAAATTGATCAAAAGTGCCAGTAAAGACATTTATAATGTCACAAAAGATTTCTATTTCAAATAAACGCTGTTCTTTTGAGCTTTTCTATTCATCTGTGAATCCTGAAAAATAAAATGCATCAGTTTCCACACACATATTGAGCAGCACAACTGTTTTCAACATTGATAATAATCAGAAATGTTTCTCGAGCAGCAAATCAGCATATTAGAATGATTTCTGAAGATCATGTGACACTGAAGACTGGAGGAATGATGCTGGAAATACAGCTGCGCATCACAGAAATACATTACAGTTTAGCAGATATTCACATAGAAAGCAGCTGTTTGAAATGATAATAATATTTCAAAATTTCACTGTATTTTTGATCAAATAAATGCAGCCCTGGTGAGCAGAAGAGAACATTTATGAGTACTAAAGATGGGTAAATCACACGCATCAAATCAGAAACAACACAAAGGGCAAAACATTCTTACATCAGCTTGTGGTAATAACTGAGCAAGCTCTGCAGCTAGTTTAAGGGTTTGACGAAGCAGTTAAAAACACTTGACTGTCATGAAGCCGAGCAGAACAGCAGCACGTGTTTCACTGGAGTTCAGCATCAGGACATCAGTAGAAGGAGTACTGGTTCTCCACGGCTCGAGTCCGCCGCGTGCCGTCGCTGTCGTGGTAGTCGTCGGCCCCGGCCCCGGGCTCCAGCAGTCTCTCTGCGCTGCTGCTGCGGCTGTGGAGGCCCATCAGTGCTCCTGCGGCCGGCTGAGCCATCGGAGACGAGGACGAGCTGGACGACAGCACCGCGTCTGACAGCTGATGGGTCAACTGGGTCGGTTCGGCCCAACAGATGGCGGCGTCCCGCTGGGCAGCTGGGATATGAGGAGCCTCCACATCTGTGCAGACACACCCAGACCACAAGTCAAAACATACTGCAAAAAGAGCCAAAGTCAGCTGGAGAAACTCACACACGGCCTGCAGGAAAGCATGTTACTGGTGCACTTCAAAACAGGCGACAGAATGAAGAATTTGGTCGAAAAATGTAAAAAATGTTCAAGCGCCTGTGACATTCTGGTCTCTAGAAACGGCTCGGTTCCTTCTATTTGTGGTCTATGAGGTGATTTTCATCTATGACTGCAATTATGGTTATACGTATAGTGTAAAGAACACAGAAATGAAGTTTCATCAAAACATCAAGCTTTAATCATACTGTCTGTCGCTCTTTAGGGAAATTAACATTCCCAGACTACTACAATGACACTTCTAACGGGGTTTCTGCAGGTTTTATGGAGGTAAAATTAAGACTTTTTAAAAACCTTTTTAAGGCCAGGTAAAGGAACTTTAGGGAATAAATTGAATGGAACACGATACGTGAATATGGTCTCTAAATGTAAATGTCTTAACAAAACTTCAAAAGTTTGAAATACAATTTCCAGCAGACAGATCTCCATTACTTTTTTATTCATTTTACAAAAAAAAAAAAAAAGAAAAGCTTATGGCCTGAATAGCTCTGATACAAACCACTAGAATAAGGAAGTAACTTTTGCTGTACCATCTGATCTCACTGCAAAAAAAGTGATGCACTTCCTCAATATTTCTTGTTTTCCAGTGCAAGATTCTTAAAACAAGATGCATTTACTTGAGAAGCAAAATGACTTAAAATTATGAGTCTTGTTTTCTGGGAAAACGGACAAAATGAAGAGTTTCTGATTAAAACAAGAGCAACTCTTGACACTGGGCTCAGAAAAATCAACTGAATTCAAATGGAAAATTTTTCATTCCCTCTGACAGACGCTCGTTCTTCTTTAAGCATATAACAGTCACAAGCCTGTTATAGGACTTGTTATCTTCCTCACCACTGGGGGCAGTAGAGGGCAACATGTTTTTTGTATAAGTCAAGTCATATGGTAGAAGGAGAGATTGTGGCATGCAAAAGCTAAAGCATGGCCTTGCCATATGCTTCTTGAGTCCTTGTTGGGAAACCTGTGTTTTAATGCTCAATTGAAAGTAAGTGATGTTATATTGAGTATGAAATGTGTCTAACTTATTTTCTCTTTTGGTTTTGGAAGTGTTTGAATTATAATATTTGGACTGTTTGTTTATTATGGCTTCTTTGATTTTTGTAGAAGGACTTTTTGTGTGTTACCTGGAGGATTATGGTCTCTGATGCATTCATCAGGCAAATATCACCTTTGTACAGCTGTTCCATGACCTTTGAGGCTTGAGTACAGCATGAAAAGGGATTAAGATATCAAATTGGATGGAGGATACACTGGACATTGTGAGAACTTGGAATTCAGATAAGACTTTATTCACTCCATTGCAGCTAATTCATCATTCATGGACATTCATGATCTGTCTTCAATTCTATTTACATTTTGGTTCTCTTTGTGTGTTTTGATTTGATGAGAATAATGTTGCTATGCTTACTTGATTTTTTACTAAATATAAATATGATATTTTGCATTCAATGAGAGGTTCTGATTTGTTTTACGCTTTGTTAAATGGATTATGTTATTGCAGTAGGTTACCTTTTGCAAATAAGTTGTATGACTAGTTTTGGGTTTAGTTAAATCAGAAACGGTCATAAGCATAAACTCACTTCATTTTGTTCAGTTTCTCAGAAAACATGACTTCACATGCATCTCAAGTAAAAGTATCTTTATTTAAGTATGTTTAGATATGTGTACTGGGAAACAAGACAAAAACACTGAGGAAGAGATTCACGCAACATTTAATGCCATGACTGCATGGATTTAAGACTTTCTGCTGCTATTTAAAACCTTTTTAGGCCTTAATTTGTGGAAGGGTGAATTACGGCTTTTTAAGATCTTTTTGAGACCCGCACAAATCCTGTTCTAACTTTGAGCTTTGATTCAGACGCTTAATGCCAAGTAAACTAGATATGAGAGCTGAACTGTTTACTCCACTTCTCTCTTAGAGACGACTTCAGATTTAAATGCATCTAACTATAAAAATCAAACGGTGTTTGGTCACTTTATGCCAGGCTTCTGGCGGTGGCCGCTCTTTGAACAGAATAAGCTGCAATGTGGACCAGACTTCATGCTGATACTATATAATACTGATACTGTGTGTGTGTGCTGTGTGTGGGTGCTGTGTGAAAGTGACGTGACATGTGGCCAAGTATGGTGACCCATACTCGGAATTAGTGCTCTGCATTTATCCCATCCAAAGTGCACACACACTGTGAACACGCACCCGGAGCAGTAGGCAGCCATTTTTTTGCTGCAGCGCCCGGGGAGCAACATTTTGGTTCTCTTTGTGTGTTTTGATTTGGTTTATTTATTTATTATTTGATTTACATTTGATTTAATGTTGCTATGCTTACTTGATTTTTTATTAAATATAAATATGATATTTTGCATTCAATGAGAGACTCTGATTTGTTTTACGCTTTGTTAAATGGATTATGTTATTGCAGTAGGTTACCTTTTGCAAATAAGTTGTATGACTAGTTTTGGGTTTAGTTAAATCAGAAACGGTTATAACCTATGATGCCATGAGGGCGAGTAAAACGTGCATTTTCGGGTTAACTAACCCTTTAAGAGTCATCATGCTTTACTCTGGAACATGCAGTGCAACAGACTATTATTTAAAAGGAATAGCTCTTTACACCAAGATATTTTCAGATCATTATTAAAATGGTGGGACAGATTAGACTGAATTGCAAGCAGGCAAAATTGGATTAAGGAAAAAAACTCATACGTTGCATTGGTTTGTCACATTTTATGACATTCAGAAATCATGCAGAATACCGGTAAAGAAAATAACATGCAAAATTGTTCCCCTTTTTTAGCCTAGTTTGTACCGGAGGTGTATTTTCCACTTATTTTCCCATTGGAAATTTAAAGTCTTTGTGTTCAGCAGAACAAAGAAATGTGTACACTTAGTATCCAAGACTTAGGTCGCTCAATGGTAGATTGTTTAAAATGAAGAGACAACCAGATTGACAATAAATTCAAATCTCTCATCCCTCTCAAGTCAACTCCAATTCGTCCAACCCAAAGCTCCATCCCGCCGCCCTCAGTTTCCCAATTCAATACCAAACCTATCAAGTTCAATCAAGTTACACTCAGTTGTCTGGTTCTGGAAGCCTTTCGGCAGTTCCACCTGTAAAGATAGAGTTCCCAAACTTTAATAGCAGTGAAGAAGATGATCCCGTTTCATTTATTGAGAGATGTGAGGAATATCTAGCCATTCGACCCTTGTCTGACTATGAAATACTAGCTTCCCTTACCTCTGTTTTAAAAAAACACTGCAAAAGATTGGTGGGTGGCTGAGAAGAGAAATACCTCTGTTTTAAAGAACACTGCAAAAGATTGGTGGGTGGCTGAGGAGAGAAATGTACAGACCTGGGAACAATTTAAGAAAGTCTTCCTACATTAATTTTTGAATGAAGACTATGAGGATGAAACAGCTAGAAGGCTCTTAGAGAGAAAACAAGGTGCACAAGAGAGCATACGAGATTTTGCTTTTTACTACAGAGCCCTCTGTTTAAAATGGAAAAAGATATGTCCGAAAAAGAGATTTTGCAGTCCATTCTTAGAAATTGTAACCCACGGTTAGCCAGCCTACTTAGAGGAACAGTACGAAATGTTGGTGAATTAGTAAGAATTGGAACACAAATTGAGAAAGATTTGGAGGAATCAAAAAGATATTGGAATAATGTTAACTCTGAGGCTCAAAGAAAGAAGTCACAACTTAACTGAGAAACAGTTCCTAAACCTCCCCATGCTAACGCAAGAGTAATGCAATCAGTCCAAAGTACTCCACAAGATCCGAACATGATTACCTTACCTATCCTGCTGAGAAACAGGTACCTACAAGCTGTCATCGATACAGGAAGTACACTTTCTTTGATTCAGGAATCCTGCTGGAGGCAACTGAAAAATCATGAGGTATGGAAGTCAAGTAATGGACAAAATTTTCTACTAGCAAACGGCCAAAGTCAAACAGCTTTAGGAAAATCTGATTGGGAGTGTGAACTGCAAGGCAAGATGTTCAAGTTAACCTTGTATGTAATGAGAGACTCTGATCTGACCGTTCCAATCATCCTGGGAATGGATTTCTTGATGACGTCAGGAATAATATTAGATTTCAAGAACTTACAATATTGCTTTTCTCCCAAGGATGATGGCATTGTGCAGAGATTTCCGCTGTGGTCTCATGAATCTTCCAAACCTTCACTCCAATTCTATCTTGCACTATCTACACCACAAATGACAGTAGAAACCTTACAATCCATCAACCAACTGGTCCTGAAATCAGACTCCACTGATCAATTTAAAAATCAACTAGAAAGTCTGATGAGAAATTGGCCAACTGTCTGTACTCACGAAATTGGTCACTCCAAAATGGTAAGACACCGAATCATCACAACAGATGAAATACCCGTTAGGAAGAGAGCATACAGAGTGTCAGTACCCAGACAACAGTTCATTGATAATGAAATTCAAGAGCTGTTAAGTAAGAATATTATTCGTCCCTCAGTTTCTCCTTGGGCTTCACCTGTTGTCATTGTACCTAAAAAAGGAGGTGATTTAAGACTGTGTGTGGATTATCGGGGCCTGAATGCCAAAACCCACTTGGATGGTTATCCCATGCCCCAGATCCAAGACATACTGGAGTCTTTATATGGAGCATCAATATTCAGTACGCTAGATTTGAAGAGCGGATACTGGCAGTTGGAAATGGAACCTGACAGTATTCCAAAGACTGCATTTGTAACAGCAGCAGGACAATTCGAATTCTTGCGTCTTCCATTTGGTCTTAAAAACTCTGCAGCATCATTTCAAAGGTTGATGGAGTGTGTTCTCAAAGGCATTAGAGGGAAGTGTTGCTTTGTTTACATAGACGATATAGTAGTGTATTCGAAAAATGAACGAGAACATTTACAACACCTGAATCAAGTCTTCAGCTGTCTCCAACAAGCCGGTCTTATGTTGAATCTCAAGAAGTGTAACCTTGTGCAACGATCTCTCTCCTTTCTCGGCTAACTATAAAGAAGGTGATCTCATCTGGTTTCGTACCCACCCTCTGTCGAAAGCTGAGGATGGTTTCATGGCTAAGCTGTCTCCAAAATGGAAAGGTCCTGCCAAAGTGTGTAAGTGTTTGGGCCCTGTAAATTATACTATTTCTTTTCTTGATAATCCTGATATTTTTGATACTTGTCATGTTCAAAATTTGAAGCCTTTCTTTTTTGAAACATGTTTTTTGTATAAGTCAAGTCATATGGTAGAAGGAGAGAATGTGGCCTGCAAAAGCTAAAGCATGGCCTTGCCATATGCTTCTTGAGTCCTTGTTGGGAAACCTGTGTTTTAATGCTCAACTGAAAGTAAGTGATGTTATATTGAGTATGAAATGTGTCTAACTTATTTTCTCTTTTGGTTTTGGAAGTGTTTGAATTATAATAGTTGGACTGTTTGTTTATTATGGCTTCTTTGATTTTTGTAGAAGGACTTTTTGTGTGTTACCTGGAGGATTATGGTCTCTGACCATACAGTCTTCTCTTCAATTCATCAGGCAAATATCACCTTTGTACAGCTGTTCCATGACCTTTGAGGCTTGAGTACAGCATGAAAAGGGATTAAGATATCAAATTGGATGGAGGATACACTGGACATTGTGAGAACTTGGAATTCAGATAAGACTTTATTCACTCCATTGCAGCTAATTCATCATTCATGGACATTCATTATTTGTCTTCAATTCTATTTACATTTTGGTTGTCTTTGTGTGTTTTGATTTGGTGAGAATAATGTTGCTATGCTTAATTGATTTTTTATTAAATATAAATATGATATTTTGCATTCAATGAGAGTCTCTGATTTGTTTTACGCTTTGTTAAATGGATTATGTTATTGCAGTAGGTTACCTTTTGCAAATAAGTTGTATGACTAGTTTTGGGTTTAGTTAAATCAGAAACGGTCATAAGCATAAACTCACTTCATTTTGTTCAGTTTCTCAGAAAACATGACTTCACATGCATCTCAAGTAAAAGTATCTTTATTTAAGTATGTTTAGATATGTGTACTGGGAAACAAGACAAAAACACTGAGGAAGAGATTCACGCAACATTTAATGCCATGACTGCATGGATTTAAGACTTTCTGCTGCTATTTAAAACCTTTTTAGGCCTTAATTTGTGGAAGGGTGAATTACGGCTTTTTAAGATCTTTTTGAGACCCGCACAAATCCTGTTCTAACTTTGAGCTTTGATTCAGACGCTTAATGCCAAGTAAACTAGATATGAGAGCTGAACTGTTTACTCCACTTCTCTCTTAGAGACGACTTCAGATTTAAATGCATCTAACTATAAAAATCAAACGGTGTTTGGTCACTTTATGCCAGGCTTCTGGCGGTGGCCGCTCTTTGAACAGAATAAGCTGCAATGTGGACCAGACTTCATGCTGATACTATATAATACTGATACTGTGTGTGTGTGTGTGTGTGCTGTGGATGTGTGAAAGTGACGTGACATGTGGCCAAGTATGGTGACCCATTCTCGGAATTAGTGCTCTGCATTTATCCCATCCAAAGTGCACACACACTGTGAACACGCACCCGGAGCAGTAGGCAGCCATTTTTTTGCTGCAGCGCCCGGGGAGCAGTTGGGGGTTCGGTGCCTTGCTCAAGGGCACCTCAGTTGTGGTATTGAAGGTGGGAGAGAGCGCTGTACATTCACTCCACCCACCTACAATCTCTGCCGGTACGAGACTCGAACCCACA